AAGCGACTCAAAACTACGAGAAAATGTACACACGGTCAAACAGCACGACTCTGACTGTTGAGCGGGAGAGATTCGCCTCATGCAGGATGACGAGCCGAAGCACGGAGCCGGAGGTTTTTACCTTTGAGCGGGTCCCGGCTCAGGCAACCGCCGTGCGCTCCTACGTGCCCATCCGGCCGAAGAAGCGCTGCACCCGGGTCATGTACCCCGCTAAAGTCCGCATGCACCTTCCTCCTCCAGAGAAAAGCCAGGCCAAGCGCTGGCTGGTCATCCTGTGCCTTGTGGTGCTGTGGCAGATCTACACCGAAGATCCTTGCACAGAGACGGCGCTGGGAAACACGGAGAGCCCGATCGGCGACTACCAGGGTTTCTCCTTCCAGTCAGCGGAGGAGCAGGCTTGCCAGCTCTCCGACCTGTGCGCCAAACCCGAACTGATGTCAGCCACGCCGAGCAACTGTGAGGACGGCGGATCATCCAACGAGCAGATAATCCCGAACCCCACCTGCTCCCAGCCCGGCCAAGAGACAGACACCAGCCGGTCCTTCGAGCAGAGCGCCGGGAAAAGCATGGTGGCACTGCTGGTCTACCACAGGCTGGGCAGCGACAACTAAAACTATCAGGACTGGTTTCACTGTAAACCGCCCCAGACACGGCTACTGGGTCCTAACCCGAACCGAGCAGGAGCTGATCCTGAGTAGTTTTTGGAGAAGAGCGGTGCGCCCTGCGCGGTGTAGCCGGGAAAGGAGCTCCATGCGCCGGCTAACAAGTCTCGCTCAAAGCCGAGCAGGACTATTAGCAAGAAATGAGACAACACTCGAAAGAATCAAGGAACTGTGAATACTGACAAGAAACTGAAACTTGATTTTAAGAAAAACTTGAACTTTTCTCTAACGGCATTATAGGCCTGCTGGCAAAGTGAATGTTTTACATGTTTAATTTTGTCAAGAAAAACTGTCACTACTATAGGCCAGTTAAATGATACTGACACTGCTGTTGTTGTTGTTGTTGTATATATGTTTTATTTAGTTATTTATTATAATATTTGCTATTTATTTAATAATAATTTTAATAAAAAAAATGTCTAAAAGAAGTTCCTGTTTCCTGCCTTTTTACTGAAGCACACTAAATGCTGTTTATTGGGTATTTTTATTTCTCTAAACACATGTTGCATGTGTAGTTTACAAGATGTTGAATATCTTACAGCCTGCACAGGATCATAGTCTGCAGATATGCATCATTTGCATAGTCCATTTACACCCATCGAGTTTGAAAACTACATCAAAGTCAGTCATTTTTCAAACCTTTTAAGGCTCTATCACATTGCACTTTATATATGAATAACAAACTCATAGGATGCAGTGCATTCAACCACTCAGTAGAAAATCTTCTCCTTTTTTAGCTACAAGACAAATGCAGAAATCACGAGTCTGATCCAGATTCTGGGATAAGTGAAAGGGAAAAAGTAAAATCAGCACATATACACTTTAAAATACAAAGGCTGCTTTGGTTTTAACTTCATAGATGCTAAGGCGCTAAGAGTGTCATTGCCTGAATTAGGAGACAAAGGACCATAAAGGAATTCTTTTCCCAGTATGGTGTGGAAGAACATGACTTGTAAGCACAGTGTGCTTACATTTCTAAGGCTTTCAACAGTATGGGTACCACATTCATGTTCTTGTGTCTGCAGAACCAGATACAGTTAGAGCAACACACGTTTATCATTCAGCAGCTGCATCTAAAATTCTGTTAATGGGCAGAGACGTTACAGACTAAAGGGTGTTTGAGATTTTAGATTCAGTCCAGAGTGATTTCTGCAGACTTTAAAGGGGAAAAGAAAATGCTTTCCCCACTTTCCCTTTTTTTCATGCTTTATGTCTCGAGCCTTCAGAAGACTGCTGAGTCATGAGTAGTTCCAGCTTCATGTTACATCACAGCAACAATGAGTCGTGTCTGAAAACCCTTCCTAGTACGTTGTTATTGTAATGATTAATATGCTGCAACGCATTTCAGTTGCACACACAGTAGAGTGTTGAGATTATTCATTCTTATTGATGATATGCTACAATAATGTTATACTTTATATGACTTCATGCTACTTCCGCCGGCTTAGGGCAACCATCGCCTGGAGGCACCTGGGGAAGATCTGTTGATGTTTGATATTGGAGGTTGCCATGTTGACACAGTTCTGTAACACACAGGTAAAAATCGTAATATGACAAGTATGACAAGTATGACAAGCACGGGGTGGAGGACCCTGAGAATCTGTAGGATGCTGCAAGAATATTCCAGTTGTGAAACAAATGGCATTTTTAAACGTCTGTGTGAAAATAAACCAGCACATTAACTCTGGAATTGTTAGATATTTGTTCATGCCAGTTGATATAATGTAGGTACTAAATGTAATACAGATCTGATTTCTGGTTATAAATCTCAAGCTGAAGAACTGTACATTTAATCACCATTTTGACTCAACAATATCTGAAAGAGCAGATTTCTGCCTGTATTAACATCCAAAACTAAAGCATCAGATAACGATAAGTACAACAAATGTGTTTGAACCCAAGTAGTTTTTCAGGCTTGATCTGTGTATTAATATAAAATATATATTTCTCTTCTTGTTCCATCACTCTCTCTTGTCCTTTTCTCTTCTTTTTTTTTTTTGGCACATCTCTGCGTTATAGAAATACAGTTCTCATGGCTACTTATTTTTCTTATTAACACATAAAACATAATCAGGGCAGAACAGAAACCCTTGTCAAATTCTGACTCTGCAGTCGTCCAAAAGGCCACTGCTGACGCAATGATTAAATAACATTTATATAAAAATTCTATAAAGTTGTAAAGTGTGGAGATAATTATTTAACATGTCTTTTGTTGCTTTGGTGGCATGTTTTGGGTCATTGCTATTCTGGAAGACCTAACTATCTTCAGTGTTCTGGCTGAGGAAAGGAGTTTCTCGTCCAAGGTTTTACAATACATAGCTTCGCCCATCACCCGAGGTAAAGTCCTCCTATACGCTTAGCAGATATAAAGCCCCAATCATAATGTCTCCAACTCTGTGCTTGACTGTGGGGATGGTGTTCTTTGGGTCATAGTCAGCATTTCTCTTCCTCCAAACACAGCAGAAACCAAAATACTCATCTGACCACAGCACTGTCTCCAAAATCTTTGAAATCTTCAAAATCATTTAGAGATTAAAAATGATGAAAGGCCTGTACCATGTTTAACCTATGTGGTCTAAAGAAGCAGAGAGCGTAGCATGTAAACTATGAAGTTGCTTCTTCTATCTCCAACAGATCGGTATTTTGCACAGCACCTGCTGCACCATCTGTGTTTTTACACGAGTTGAGAAAAGTCTGTTGCAAGACCGGATAAAAAACATCTACTGAAGAATTGTTATGGATGTACAGTAAAAACACTGCTTCCTCGAGCCAAGTCAACCAAACACACCACATATACAGTAGAGTTGCGAGGATGTTCAGTCACAGACGCAAAACAATGACTCACTTCCTGTTTAGTGTACGGCCTGATCTGGTTCAGAGTTGTTGGTCAAACGGAAAGCAAGCCGTGAAAGTCAAAGTGGATATTTCAGGAAAAGTGAGTTTTTATTTTCCAAGGGGTTTTGATCAGTAAGTTAGGTTTGCATAGTAGAATGGCATAACTTTGGTATAATGGTCCCTGAACCCAATGAATCCAATGAAGGTGAGCCTCAAACAGTAAATATTTTATTCTAACCCTTGAGCTCAGGTGGATGTTCATGCCTTTGCCTACCTTGAAGTGTAACATTTCACTTATCTAGAGGTCTTGTTACAGACAGGAGACTGTAGGAGATTGAAAACTATTATGTAGACATTCTGCCACTGTCATGGTATATAGAGAGAGTTGATTTTCTGGTCAGTTTATGTTCCTACTTTCATCTCAAGCCATGGGTGTTAACCGAAAGAAAAAGAAGAGTGTAACTGAGTTTTCTCTGAAGGCTTTCTAGGCTCTCCTTTAGGGATGGGTGGGGAACTTAGCCATTCAGAGTCACTGCTCCTCTACAGAAGGAGAAAGCTGAGCTGATCTGACTACGATGTTTCCTGGATGTTTCAGTATTACGTCATGTGAGGAAGACCTCTGGGACAAGTTAGAGAAATTCCGTCTCTTGGCTGGGCCAAGAATCCGTCTGTGTCAACACAGAGAGGAGATCTACTAGACTACTGTTGCTACTGCTGGAACATGTAAAAGTGGATGAAATGAATGGAGGGATAATTAGTCTTTTTTAGTTTGTTTGCATTTAGAAACAATAATGAGTGGACAGCTCAAGAAGCCACAATTCAGATTCAGATCCAGTATCCATAATTCTGATTGACCAGAATCCATGTGCTAGCAGACCAGCCAATGGTTTTCCAGACTGTGGCTGACCTGGTTTAGAAATGATGCAGTTAATTCACTTTTTTAACAAATATCTTTAGGATTATGATTTCAGTTTTAAAGTTTAGCCTCCCATTAAGCCTTTCTATGTGTATTTGCCATGCTGAGTTTCTCCTTTATTAACCTAATTAAACATCATTACTCTACAGTTCATGTAAGTTACAACTTTAATGCACAAAGGCACTTGTGCTCAGACAAATGTTGGCTATTTGGAACAAAGCTTGCCCTGGGATGAACTGGTGATCTCTCCGGGGTGTACCCTCCCTCACCGTATGACAGCTGGGATGGACTCAAGTGACCTTTGACTAGATAAGCTGTTAAGAAAATCTATGGCTGGATGGATGAAATAAAGCCAATTTTTTGACTCTTTAGTTTTGCACATGAAAAAAACGTTGATTTACTCACTGATCCTCTAACGGGATGGTCAGATTATTTGGAAAAATAATTTTCTTTTAAAAAGACCTCTGATGTAATGTTTCAGAGCAGTAAAAGCTGAGGTCAGTCAGCTTTCCTGGAAGTTGCTCAGTGGAACCAAACCAGAGTGAAATATAATCTCCCAGTGTCTCGACCAATGAGGTTCCCCAGCTAAGATTTTTCAAAAAAAGCTCCTCCCACAAATGGAAACATACAGGCCAACATTCAGTCTGTCAAAATGATTATAAAGCTCTTCTTCTGCACTGACTGTACCAAATATTCACAATCATTTTATCAAACGCTTTGATCCTAAATTAAACAAAAAATCTCTCTAATGTAACTGAAATAATTGCTGATGTTTGCATTTTTTTATCAACTTGCTATATATGATTTTCTAAGTAACCTATGAGAAGCAACAAAGGCTCCTCTCCTCCAGATTTGTCCATGTGCAGCTCTGTGTTCAAATGTTGCATAATGCATAATAACAAGATGCTTGGAGACCAGACCAGTGTGAACATGCCCACATCTCACTGCCTCGTCGGTTTTACCCAGTCAGAGCTGCTGTGGAAAATCCCCACAAATTTCTTAGTTCTCTTTTTCAGTGGTCAGTCTTTTGCTTCATAATTCACCTTTACAAAGCAAAAGTTACATCGCAGGAAAGATTTTACAGATGAGCAGGATATTGATCCAGAATTTGTTTGGTTTGTTCCAGTATGTAGGTTTCTTTTTTTGGTTTTTTAATGTCTTAGTCTAACTTTGGTCTCAGTTACTTTCCTGATTGGGTTTGTTCTAGTTCAGTTTAGTTTTTCTTGTTGAAAAAAAATGTTTTGTTTAGCTTTTGTAGGTTCAGGGGTTATTTCTTGTTGTTAAAAATGTATATGGTGTTTGTCTGGGGGTAACTGTCTTGAGTCCCCCCGTCCCATTTCTCCCTCACAGTGGAACACTCCTCAAAGCCTGAAAATCAGCATTATTGTAGCAGTGTGGGGTCTTCTTGACAGAGAACAAAACAAAAGGAAGCCAACAGTTAAAGAAGAACTTTGGAATATCATTAGGAAGTTTGGAGAACTATTCCTGAAGACTACATCAAGTACAAGCAAGCAAAGAAAGATTAAGGACTTGAGGTGTGGCTCGTGACGTTTACACAGTGCTGTAGATGAAAAGACAAACACTTTACTTCAAAGGTGTCAAACTCTGGCCCGCGGGCCAAATGTAATTTGGCCCGCGAAGCCATCCCA